CCCCCCCCCCCCCTTTGTCCCCTTTTTGCTGACCCCCCCCCCCCCCGCCCTTGTGTAGACGTCTTTTATGGATGACCCCTTACTGTCAATATCTGTGAGTAAGGTGCCTTGATGAACTCAAATTAATCTTAAAATTTTACTTCATTTGTTTTGTTTTTGAATTAATAATGGTAAGTCATATATGTACATACATAAATACATACATACATACATACCTGGTACATACATACATACATATATACATATATATATCACCATACTCTATGTCTGTACAAGCATGTAGTAAATATTTTGTCAAAGTAAAAAAAATATATTTAAATGCCAAAATTGTAAAAAAAAAATTTTGATGTGATTTTTAAAAAATTAAAATAAATCAAGATATGTCCTATTTAAGAGAGTGTTACAATGTTAGAATGATACCTTTATCCTGATTACACCCATCCTTAAAACTCAAAGATCAATAAGTTTTGGTTATTTTTTTAAAAATCAATTTTTTTAATTATGCAAAATATTAGAAATTATAAACCGTTCATCAAGTTGTTTGGCAATAATATTGCATCTAATGAGTTAAATAAGTCAATTTAAGTCTCTGTGCCTTAAACTATTTCAGGAAAAAGAGGATAAAAGCTGTAGATATCCACAATGAATGAGTTATAAGCCAACTTCACCAGAGAGAAAACTTTACTAAAGATCTAAATACATAACAAAACAAGAGAAAAAGAACATTTCAGTTCTGCTACAGAGTCGCAAACTGGAAGTCTAACATGGGCACCAATGGAGCCCACATTTCTTAATTACCGGTATTTTCTTTATGGGGCACTTATAGCTTGCTTAGCTTAGCCACTTCAACTTCTGGGTGTGAGAGAACTTGATTGGACTAGCGAAAGTAGGGGTATGCCATCACACAAACTACAGTACCATAAGTTTACATTACATTCTTCAAAAGTAATTTCATATCTTTTTACAGTCTTCAGACCTTAAATATAAATATATTCACATAAATATACATAATGAATACGATGAAATAGGATTTATACCATCACTGATAATGAGATAAAACTGTTAACATATAAGAGAGTTCCTCCCCTAAGAACATTTCTGTAATAAGGGGTATAAACGCTAAATATAAAAGATATGTGGGCTGGAAATGGAGCAACAAAACCAGGAGAAATTTAGGTTTGGAAGGGGAATAGTCAGTCAATGGCATAACTGCAAATTCATGTACTATTTAAAGGATTAATTAAGTCAGCGTATTATTGTAAGACTATATAAAAAAAATCATATGACTTTGAATTTTTTTAAAGATTTATATATGATTTTAAAGATACAGGATTAGGCAGAAGCAAAAATCTTGAAAATAAAAAGGTTCTCTCTATAATTATAAGCCTTTCAAAGTACAAGAATGTGACATGCAAGTGACAACCAAGGCTGTGGATTGCTAAAAGAATTTTTGTTTTTAACTGAATTTTGCCTATTTATTTCAATTTTATCTCTTCATCAGCTATCAATGAATGATCAAGTATTCACAGCACCTCTGATTTATTCACTCATTAATAAAAGCAAATTACAATGATAACAGTAACAGAGAAATTTTCTGTTTGGTTGTGTAAAACTCTGAATAAAAAAAAAAGAAAGCATAAAATGTGTTAAAATCAATAGCACAACAGATAGTGACATATAATGCATGAAAAACATTGTATTGTTAAAATAATATTGCATTTAAGTAGTAGTATATTTCAATCTGAATTTATTTTTGCAAAAAAATTGTAAAAGTTAAATTCTAAAAATATAGATGTATTTTTAAACAATATTTTTTCAGTGTACTGGTAAGGTAACAAATGAAATGAAGAAAACTATTTGAATAAATTACTCGCATAAACATGTTTCTGAACCAGTGTTATAAATTTTAAAATAATATCATCACAGTATAGTGATACTGTCTTCAGCAAAGTTCTCATGACGCCTTCTGTTGGTATGCCCATTATTTGATTCTGAGTTCTTTGCCCTTGTCTCTGCTTCCTCATCTGTTTGGAATTCCTGATATTTGTATGCATAAGCAGCAGGGAGATAGCCAAGGAAGAAAAGTACCATCAGACCACCAAAGACAAAAAACACATATTCAGCTTTACCATTGTTTATATCATCAGGGAACCATGGGTCTGAAAGGAACCAATTTAATATTATTTAATATTAAATTTGAAAATGCCAAGTTTGTCGACTTCATCAGTGTCGTAGCAAGGGGGGTTCGGGGGATGCAGACCACACCAGGTGACACCATCTTAGGGGGTGACACCGAATTGAAAATTTGCTTATTTAAAGAGAATACACTTCTCATTAAAAGTTCAAGGTTGATGTGTCGGCAATGAGGTAACCCTATAATTAGGGTTAGAAAATTATTTTAAAAATGCTTTGACCATGATTCAACGCCGATTGAAGTGTTCTGTAACTTTCGTAAGTGACTGGAAGCTATGTTTATCAAAATTCTGAAAAATAAAGCTTTCCATTGATACCAAATACGATGTGGTCAGGTGATTCCATTTACATGTTATAGTTATTAAATACATTTACCTCTTGACCTTTTATCCTGTAAGTCGGGTGGGGTGGGGGTATGGGGCGTGAACCATGAGTTTACCACACCAGGTGACACCAACCCTAGCTACGCTACTGGATTCCACAACACGAATCCTTAACTTTTCAAGCTTGATAAACTTATCACATACAACATAAGCTTGGTAAACTTATCACATACAAAATTAGCTTCGTAAACTTATCACATACAAAATTAGCTTAGTAAACTTATCACATACAAAATTAGCTGGGTAATAATGGTAAAATTATCACATACAAAATTAGCTTGGTAAACTTATCACACATAAGGGACAAAGGAAGAAAATGGAAAAATAATGTTTTGATATGTCTGTTCACCCTAACATGTTGTAACCAACAAATATTAATAAATTATTTTTTAAAAGGATCATCCATAAATAATGGTCACAAACTTGTGATGTTTTTAACTGGGCGGGGGTAAAAATTCTGCCAAAATAGCATGATAATTTATGGATGGCACTACATGACATGATATGCTAAAGATCAATTTAAAATAAAGCCTCTTTATAATTTTTTCCAAACTACAATCTGTTGACTTACCATCCTCTGTGGTTGTCTCAATAATTGCAATAATGGCAGTGCTGACATAGTTTCCAATGCCATTTGTTGCCAAATAAATTCCCATGATCAAGCCTTGCATATTCTTTGGGGCTTGAGTATAGGCAAACTCCAAACCTGTAATTCATGCATATTGAAATACATAGAATTTTTTTTTTTCAATTGTACAGTGAGCTCACAAACTATAATATACCCGATAGTAATTTAGCTTTACTTATACAAGTAACCTAATTATTTAGTTGATTGTCATGAAATCAGGCTGGGCCTTAAAATTCTAAAACCATGATGGATTGAGGATAAGCCCTGAGGTCTGTTTCAGAGGAGCTCGCCCAGTGCTACACATTCATATACCGTATCTTACAGAGAACCTGCAATTGATAGGACTGCAAATTTCAAGGACTCTAAATCTCACCACGTTACACTGGAAAGGCAATTCCACAATGAACTGTTGGATAGTCCACATCCCTCCCCAACTTGAGAAAGTGAGGAGAGGAGCCTCCTCTTTCAACCCTATATCTATATCTATACATATCTATATATATCTATATAGATAATTATGAGTTGCTGTATCAAAGAAACCAATGCATCTTAGCAACTGGATTGAGGATAAGCCCTGAGGTCTGATTCTGAGGCGTATGCCCAGAACAACACATCCGTATCCCAAACTGTGAGCTTGCATGAAATAAGACTGCAAGTTTCTAGGACTCTGCACCCATGACACACTGCTGGGAGGTTCAGCCCACAAAGTACAGCCTTCAAGGCTATTCCACAATGTACAGCTTGGAAGTCCACTTTTGTTACCACCCTGAGACAGCATGAAGGAAAAGACTGGTGGATCCACTGGGACCCAAGAAGTGACCTCATACATTTATAGATCTATTATGATCATCAATTATATTAATAATAATAAGATAGGAAGTAAACAGAGCATATTTGTCGTACCGGCATTACAAAGCAACTTATGATGATGAAATGTCTATTGATTTTCATGATGATAAGATTTGTGATTCTTATATAACAAATTTAATGTAAATAAATAAGTTCCATTCAAATTATGCCACTGGTTTATACTTCTTTTAAATTATATGTAAGTTTATAAGAATGAAATTGCATCTCTTTGTGTGTGTTTTTAATCCAAAGATAAAACCCCTAGACACGAGCAGGTGATAACTCTTGTAAGTAAGAGTTATCAACCTATAATAACTAATACAAGTCTTTTGTGAAATTGATGAGTTTTTAGATTTCAGGTAAGACAAGAGCTTTCTGGTAAACTTTATTTTTATCATCAGTTATGATGTGCACCATGGAGGAAAAAGTCAGATTTGCTGCAAAATCACAGTAGGAAAGAAAGATACCTGCAACTAGGTTCTCAAATTAATTGCAGTTGGCTTTCTTATGACTCCTTTCCAAAACAGAAATAGCACATGTATTTTAACACAGAATCTCAATATTTAACATTAAAGAATATTATTACAGTAAATGCAAATAGTAGATTTTATGGGGCAGATCGTAATGGTAACTATGCTATTTAAAGAGCGTAAGCATAAACATTACCTGCAATATTAGTGAAAGCTTCACCAGCCCCAACTAGCATAAACTGTGGGACTTGAACAAAAACTGTCATATTTGCAGCAAAAAAAGTTTCATCTCCAACTATCTGGGTGAAGCCCAAAACTTTTTTTCTCTCAATTTCAACCCAGCCAGCTACAAACACTGACAGGGCAGACAAGATCAGACCAATACCTGTTCATATAAGTATAAGACAGGACAAGAACATGTTTAGAATATATAATATATTATTTTACTCTATTAAGACAAAAGTTGTATTTAAACACATTAAAATTACCTTTAACTTTAAGTAATATTTCATAAACTATAACACCAGAAGTTATAAGTGATTTATTTTCAGGTAGCGACTCAGAATAGATAAATAAATAATTTTCCCACCTATTCGATGCATATACCGTAGGGGCCTGCCCATACGTTGAAAGCAAGGGTAGATTAATCTATCAAGAATGGGGATGCACAATAATACAGCTACGGTGTTGAAAACATTCAACATAGCTACGGGAATCTGCCCTCCTCCAACATTTAAATCCATTCTCTCCCCTTGTAAGAAATATGTTGACTGCATCTGTTGAAATAATCATCTTATTACTAAATAGTCTACAAACAATTGTGAATGTTTAAAAAAAACAATTATATTTAGAGTGACACTTTACTAAATTCAAACCAATTAAAAAGTTGACTCAATATTGCATCAAATCAAACAGTCCATGTATAAATCAAACAGTACCTATATAAATAATAATGTATCAAGCCAAATGATCCAGCTCACTTAATAACATTATTCCTAAATAAATAAAATGTCTTGAATAACAAACCAGAAATACGGTAGCAAGTTAGAACCTTGCAATTAAGCATGAAGTCTTTGTTTAAAAAAGCAATTACAAAGACAAAGCTTTGATTTTCAGTTATAAATTTGAAACTTATCAAAATCAGAAATATATAAGGTGTTCGTGGATTTTTTTTTTTTTAACTATATATATGAGATGCTTATGACACACAAACATGTTTTCAGTGATGATAGTGAAAGTACCTGAGAATAAATAGCCCAAAACATGATGACAAAAAAGAATATTGGTAGGACTCGTAGGACTGCAATAACACCATCAACAGTGACATTGTCATAGTCTCCCCCATAGTCTGTCCGAGCTGAATCAAATATCTTACGTTTTCCATCTATCTCAGGTGACTTTCTGCAGCAAGCTTGTCCACAGACCCTGAATGATGTAGCTAAAACACTACCTTAAGATAATAAAAAAAACAAAATAATGGAGTTATATTCATTTTATAAAGATTATACATATTACATTAGACAAAGATCTCAAAATTAAAAGAAATCAGAATCTTAAGTAATTCACTTAATTAAAGCAATAGAGGCTATTGTTGATTGTATATTTTGCTGTCATACTGTTGTAGCCTAATTTATATTGATCTGGATAACTAATATGGTAATGGTAACTAATAGTTGCAGTAAATAGTGATAGTATAAGTATGTTAATCTCATTTTGCAATATAAGACGTCATCAATAAATAGGCATCCTTTTAAAATGAAACTAATAAGTTTTTAAAAATTTGTTTCTCTTATCAGAAACATTTTCAAAACTATTTTTATTTAAATATGCTTTGTCCACTTGGACTTGGAGGGTGAAGAAACTGTTAAATACCTTGTCCTGGTTTGTAGATGTAGTGAGATCTGGCAATATTTAGTAAAATTATGGAAAGGAGAATTGAAACCAGAGGAATAAAGTAACCCCATGTAAAGCTGATATTTTGCTGGACATAAGCTATAGCGGAGAATGCTATTAGACCACCAGCATTAACGAACCAGTAAAACCTGTTGAATAAAAACTTATTTTCAGCATAAAGTCCAGCAAATAACTTAAATAACAATCAACATGACAACATTTTCACTATGTTTAAATGTAAATATATAATTTTGTTTTCTTCATTTTCTTTTATTTTCAATCTTAAAGCTTCAAGTAGTTGAAGTCAATCAAATGTATGTTAACTTGAACTAACTTTTTAATTTCAATTAAAAATATAAATGTGTTAATGATAAAAAATGCATACTTAAACACATTACCATTGGTACAATATTTTAAAGAAATGGAAGTTAATAGCCAACTAATAAAAACTAGTCTCATTAACTCTTAAGCTTTTTATTTGAACAAGTTAGCTCATTAGAAGCTAGGATAGTGCATGTAAATTATTTTAAACAGCCAACAAGTTGTTTTTATGTGTGGGCTTCACCTAATCCAGGGTTTCTTAACCAGGGGTACTCAAACCCTATAGGGGTTGTAGGAGGAAGAGTCAGAGAATGAGGTTTTATTTGCATTTTTTTCTGGTGAGGGCTGCAGAATGTATTTTTTTGAAATTGAGATGGGGGTGCATAAAATGTTTTGACATCGTCAGGGTTGCGGCACTGCAAAAATATTAGGAACCCTTTGCCTCAGCCATTTTTAAAATGCAAATTTACTAATAATAGATATTAGCCTACATTTTCTACAGGTAGCTTAAAATTGTAACTATTTCTTCTATAAAAATTTTAAATTACAATTATTAATATATTGCATCATGGTTGTAAAGATACCCTCGTTAATAATATTTTTCTAGGATCAAATTAAAAATTTAAAAATTAAAAAATCAAGAAATTTCCATTAAAACCAAATTTATAAAGGAACCGACAATAACTCACTTGACCATAAAAAAGAAAGGATGTAAACATACTGAAATAGGATTCAAACAGCTTACCAATTAAAATAAACTTGAACAGCTTGTGCCCCTAAATCTTGTACCTGCTGTGCCCCAAATAACCCAACATTTGCTTTTATACCACCTGTTCCCAGGGCCACAAGCACTAATCCAATAATATAAAATATGCGACGAGTTTCCTGAAAAGAAAGACCATATTTTGTGAGTGAAAATCCTGTAAATTTTAATAACTTAAATATAGTTGCAATAATTTAAGGAAAGCCAAACAAAAAGAACATTCCAATTTTTTCTGCATCTTTCACTAAAACTAAATCAAATTACTATTTTAAAAATTAAAAGAAATACAAGGACTGCGTTTATCTTGAAGCAATAATAAATACACAATGAATAGGGTAAAACCTGAAGAAGGGCAATAATACAAAGTGAAATTTTGAGCCAAAAGGAAGCAGACATCAAGAAGAAACAGTAGGTGTTGTTAGGAGAAATATTGAGGGACTGAAATGTTAAAAAGCGTGTTTGAACGTTTGCAAGCCAGCTAGAATGGGTTGGAAAGCACCATCAAGGAATCCATAAATATGCTCTGTCAGGCAAGAGCAAGCTGATACTATTCTCTCTCTCTTTGTGTTCCAAATATGTGTAGGTAAAGCAAGAACCCATTTACCTTTTGTTTTCTTTCCATAATATTTGCCTCATATCCAACACCCTTGCTAGCATTAACTATGCAGTTCTTGTTGTTTTATAGCAATCTTCTATTTCCCTCTCATCTTATCTAATTTATTTACTTATTAATTTATATCTAATCTTTTACATCTCCTGTTAATTTCATAGAAGCAAATTCTTTGATTTCGTGGGTCACTTCCATAGTTGACTATGTCTACCATTTCCTGTAGACTACATATCTATAAAACAAGCTAAAAGTGTTTGTCTCTATCTTTAACTGTTTTTGCTTTTGGCAGGGATGTTCCCTTTCTGTTATTATCCTTCAGGTTTTTCCCTACCCTTTGTGTATTTTTCAAAAATTAAGCAATGACATATAGGGGTAGGTTTTTTTTTTTGGTTTTTTTTTAAAGGTCCACTTTTTTTTTTATTCAAAATAATTCAATACATATACAGAGTAAAACTAAAATAATGACAGGCAAATTTTCTGAAGTTTGAACTAAACAAAATGTTAACATTATCATAGAGTGTACTAAATTAAATATTTGTGTAAATTACTAATTTGTTAACATGATGTCTAAATGAGTTGGAATGATAAACTATGAATGTATTATTTGTCATAATATTTCTTAACATATGTTTTGAATTATGTTTTGTATTTTAAATCTAAAAAGTGTTTCTAATGTAATGTCTGTGTAATTATGTTTGTGGAAAAAAGCCTTAAGTCTGTGGTGCCATACATGTTTTCTGTATTGTGAAAGTAATATCAGACTTATTGTGTGTTGTTTCTTGTTTATGGATGCTGGTATTGTGTTTAGTTGGGTGAACTGTACCTGCTTGTATGATTTGTTTAAGTGTAGATTTAGTCTGCAATATTGTGTTGCATGTCAGATATAAATGTTGTTCTGTCTCATCAGCCCCTGTCCTGCAGAGTGGACATTCCATGTGCCTAACCCTGTCCTTATGGTCTTGATGATACTGGTGTCATGTTGTATATGAGTCTATATGTTATTTCTTTTTCTTTATTTTCGATTTCTTTAATGTGTGTATTTTTAAATGTATTCTTAGTGTTTATTGTTCCATAAACATGTGTCCATTTTATCCTATTGTAGAGTGATGTTGCTTGTTTCTTTATTAAATGTGTGTAAATTTCTTTAGTTGTCTTGTGTATAAGTGTTTCGTTGCCTTTTTATGCTTGAATGCATGCCATATGAAACTCCTATTGTTTTCTTCCCATGTAATGGGGTGTGTTGTTATCAATTTTTATTAACTGTCCTAGCCTTATCCCAATGTAATAATGTGTAAATAAATTTTCCTCCTTCTTTGTAATGGCTTGTCCTATAAATTTAATTCTAAGTGCTTTTAGTTTTGTTTGTATAGGGGTAGGTTACTTCATTTATTCAAATATTTTTTTTTTTATTTATTTATTTTCATTAATACTTATCCCAGAATTTCAACAATAGTTGGTTTATGTTTAATATAAATCTTAAATGGTCTTACCACTTCTACAATAAGGCTGGAATCATTAAATAAGCTGTTGTAATCAATAGCAGCACAAAGAACTAAAAATAGCCCTGTCATGGAGAAGAACAGAAAGGCACACAAAATATAAAAAGTGTACAATATTATGTATAAGCACAAGAATTTAATAAAACTAGAAACCATTTCCAGTTGTCAGAACTAGTAAACATACAAAATTAATAAATATATCTTTATTAAACCCATCACCAGCAGGTAATAATTAGCTCTACAGCAGAAGTAATCTATAGTAATGATTTTCTAAGTTTAATTCAATGATAAAATATATTAGGCCTACTAACCACAGAAATAAATCAATCCTGATCCAAATATGACATTGAATCGGTTAGACCAAGAGTCAGCAATAAAGCCTCCAAGAATGGGGATTAAATACACAGATCCTGATAAAAGAAGAAAATCTTTTTCTTAATTAAATTATCCTTTAAATGCTGAAAGACTAGTAGGAATTATTTGTTGTCATAAGTCATCCACCCCTTGCATTCAGCACTATTTATTTTTTAAACTCAGCTTCCATTTAATTGCTAACATTAACAACTGATAACATGTGCAATAAATTTATTCCAGAAAATTTGGATGCCTTCAAGATATCTGATTATGAATCTATGATATGCACTTTAAACCATTGCATAAATATAGAAGCATCTTAAATGTAGGCCTACCTGAGAAAATAAGACTGACAGTTGTGGCTTCATTGCTAGTAAAGTCTAAAATGCTGGTGCAGAAGAGAACTAGATTTGCATTGACTCCATAAAAGGCCATACGTTCACAGAGCTCTACAAAAAGCACACACAGAACTATGGCCAATTGGTGAGGACTGAACATAGGTACCTAAATCAGATCAGGAAAGAAGAAATACAGTGAATGAAGTAAGTCTCTGGACTTAACAATTCTTTAAAAATTGTTGCCTTTATTCATTCATAACAATTACTGAAAGAAAGTTGTCATTGATAAAATTCATATCTTTATATCAATTAATTTTGATTTTTTTTTAAATTCATTCACTTATTCTATTGGGTTTCTTTTCTATTTGTCACCCATCCAGCATCAGCTAGTTGAAAAAAATGTATCTAATTTAATGAATCACCTTTAACAATTGTATATATGTTGTTAAAACTTAATAATGTTATTTCAAAAAAATACACTGGAGACTTTTGAAGTTAACTTACTTTTGGTTCATATTTAACATGAACTCTCCCTCTTCCAATTTCCCTTTCCTTGTATTCCCCATCTTCATCACTGATAGTCAGGGACCGCCACAAATGGTGCTTTATCAGTGGTGCCCTCTCCTGATCTTTATCCGCTCGTTTCATAATGAATAATTGTGTAGTTGTTTTATCTTTCTTTAACTTTGTTATGGTACAGAATCAAGCACATTTTGGCATCCTAAAGAAGAACATTTGAAAAACATTCTGATGATATAAATCAGGAGAATGGCTTTTGAGTTTTTTAATATTTTGGAAAAATTTATAAAAATAGAAACAGTGGTCAATAATCAGTTACACAAATTCATTTATCTTAATAATCCCATTTTATAAACAGCAATGACCTGATAGAGCATATTCAGCCATAATCAAATTAGTTTAAGAAAAATTTTACAGAATATGTTTGATAACACAATAACTAAAATTATACAATGATTAATTTCAAACCTCTACATCACTTATCACCTGTAATAAAGTAGACTACACACTTCATACTAATCAGATTGTGTTTAATGTATACAGTATTATTATGTCTGCTAGAATCGTGTATATAAAGCACCACTTATGTTTACAGAGGAAGTGCACTATACGTCATTGCTACTTAAAGTCTTGTGACAATCAAAGGCATTCTGTGATAATAATCCAAGGTGGCAAGGCATTTGTTATAGGCCCATTTATTATCATGATATGCAAGTGACTAATTGTCATTTTATTATTTAAACTAGACAATTAACAGTAAGGCACAATCACATTTTGTTTTACTTCTTCCCTCTGCCATTTCACGGTATCAGAAAGAGTAGATCTACCTCAGCATTAACACTCTGTCTCTGTCTCTAAATCATTCAATGGGCCTACCATTAACCTGAAAATTACCCATTATATAATTATAGCAATAACAGTGCTTTCCATTTGATTATTTATAGAAACTTGTGTCCTGAGCGATGTCCACCCCCCAACCCCCACCCCATGACCCACCTGATCATCAGACAAATTTTATTGTCCCATTTATTTTCACATTCCTTTTTGAAATATAAATAGGCTACATTTTCCCCAGACACTAAATGCTCCCCTGCCAAATAATAATCTTCAAATGGCTGCCCCCCCCCCCCCACGGACACACACACACACACGCATGACCAGCGACGCATGACCAGCGACTTTGTAAAAAAATTGTACTATAGCAGCAACTTATTAAATTTTACTTTACGTATCATGTGGCTGATGAGTGATGTTATTAAAGCCTATAAACATTATGTATGACTATTACCTTGTGGGGCTAAAAAAGTCATATAGATCTAGGCCTTATTACACACACACACAATTTTTAAAAAATTTATATTTAAACACGATTTTCTGGGTCTTCCCGCACCTCATGCCCCCCCCCCCCCCATTAGAGGAGTGAAGGCACCCATGGTTAAAACCCCTGGTTTATTAGATAAGAATGTATTAGTATTGTATTTGAGCACCACGACCAGCAATGCCACTGGCCACTGTTGGGCTATAGTATTCCTACCACATCTGGGCTTTTTTCCTAAAATATCTGGGTGGTTGGTTTGTATAAAATTTTTAAAATAGGAAAAAAAAAGAAAGAAAGAAAAGTAGGCTAATTTGATTTGGAAAAATATGAGACTACATTACCGTTACTATATTTGTTAAAATACGGACATGTGAGCGTTAAAATCGGGTATTACACTTACTTCATACTTCTGTGTCGTTGATTGTTGACATTTTTGCCAAGCTAACAAATTATCTCGCTTCATAATAATCATGAGTCCGCGAGATTTACCTATAGGCCCAATTGTTTATTTTATAAATGTTTACTTCTAAAAATACTGTGAATATGCCAAAACAGTGAAGATAACATTAACAGTAATTTTAATCCTTCTGCATTGACAACAAGTAACAATGACTTTCTTTCACATTTTATTAGGCCTGGCAGTGGCGTAGCTAGATTTAGTGCCACCTAAGCTGGGGCGGGTCAAGATTGTTGCCCCACCCCCCCCCAACCCTCCCCCTGATGCTAATACGGGGAAAAAACTACAGGCGACCGCCGAAAATTCCGCCCCTCAATAACTAAATACATAAAAGAAAAAGTGTCACGCAACAGATAACATGACGTCATCAATGGATTCAATTAATGTCACATTCGACGAATGAATTTTTTTCAGACTCAGACGGTTATAAAGATTTTTTAAAAATAATAATAATGACGCCCGGTTCAATGTGTGTAGTAGGTTATTAAAATTAAATCGCAAAAAGTTTTACAATGAAATGTAAATGATATTTATTAATGATAGAAGAAACTAATTATTTTAAGGCTATAATTGTCATGAATACAGTTTAATATTTACATTAAAATAATTAAATCAGTATGAAAATGACGATCATTATTAATAACCAGTTGACACTGAGTTGAAACAGAATGTGCAGCACAGCTTATAACTTATAATTATAATAAAATTAGAATTAATTACTTATAATCGAAAGCCTAAAATTAAAGGTAGACGCTTGCCCGAATTCTAATAGTAATAATAACCATGTTTTTTATTTATTATTTTTTTGTCTCCAATAAGCATTCGCTCGGATTCATTATAATAAGCTTTAATTTATTTTTCCTATGCCCATTGATCAACATGTTTTGACATGGACATGGGTAAGACTGCCATGACCAAAGCTGAAATACGTAACATAAAACTAGTTTTATTGCGTTGTGTTAGAGCTGAGTTTTTCTGGGGTTTTAAAACTAAAATCCCTTTCCTTGGATCTTTTAAAATAAACGAAGTTCACTATGACTAAGCAATATTTCTGCTTGGGGTCAAAAGTATGACCCATTTTTATCCTCGTATCAAGCCAACGTCAGTCAAGTAAGTTTGGCCTAGATATAGGCTAACGGTATGTCCATCATGCCTTATGCCATACTATGTGCATACAATAAAAATGTTACAGGAATAAATATTCCATTGATTATATTTATTGTTATTAGCAATTTGCTGAGGCCTTATTATCATGCTGATGCTGTCTTTAGACCATGCATTTAATCAGCTATTGTAAATGCATTAAGTTGTATTTGTTACTATTAGCCTTAGGCTGGCCTTGACTGTCAATTCACATCTCATTTTTTTCTAAATTCTACATGTAAGTAGTCTAAGGTAAATGTCGGCTCATACTGGTTATCAATCATTTGTAAACAGAGAGAAGTCCATTGAATCATCGCAAATTCGAAAGCCTGCTGTCTTTGGTTAACGCAATATTTAATAAATAATTAATACTTAAATGGATGACTGTTCCATTAAAATCACATAAATTCCAAGCTTGTGGAGTTTGAGCCCCTGCACAGCTTAGACAGGCAAAAACAATAGCATCACCAAGGGGGGGGGGGGCATGGCGCCCGCAGGGGGGGGCAAGGGGGCACTTGCCCCCCCCCCCTGGATTGATTGGGTAAAAAATTTAGACAAAAATAGACAAAAAAATGTATTAAAGTAAAGAGAAAATAAAGAGAAAGTAACTAAGCTGATGTCCTGTCCGTTCGTTCACCATACAAATACGCTACAGTAAATTAAAACTACATTAAAACATTACTAAAAATTGTTTGCCACCCCCTAGAAAGGTAATCGATTTTNATAGACAAAAAATGTATTAAAGTAAAGAGAAAATAAAGAGAAAGTAACTAAGCTGATGTCCTGTCCGTTCGTTCACCATACAAATACGCTACAGTAAATTAAAACTACATTAAAACATTACTAAAAATTGTTTGCCACCCCCTAGAAAGGTAATCGATTTTTTTGCGCCCCCCCCTAGAAAGTTTTCTGCGGACGCCCATGGGGTGGGGGCAAAACTTGGTCGGCTTGTTGTTTATTACTGGAGGCACCACATTACATAGCAATTTAAATAAAACCTGCAAATTGAGGGGAGGGGGCGAATGCCCCACCCTGCCCTACCCAAAATACGTCCCTGGCCAGGCTGCATCATCCACACATGTTCCCTTGGGTTCACCAGATGCCATGGGTGGAAAGAGGTGATTTGCTGTCTAGGGAACTAGTTTATCCTCCAAAGTCCCAAAGAATAAATCCCAGGCCCTGTGATTTCGTCCTGCGAGGGCTTCACTTCACCATCGTCATATTGTGACGGGCGGATATTCAGGGGGTCAAGTTCGGGGGGGGGGGGGGTTATTTGGGAACTCACTCAAGATTAAAGGACACCACCACCCACTTGTGATTTCGTCCTGCGAGGGCTTCACTTCACCATCGTCATATTGTGACGGGCGGATATTCAGGGGGTCAAGTTCGGGGGGGGGGGGTTATTTGGGAACTCACTCAAGATTACAGGACACCACCACCCACGAACACTCACGAAATAAATAAGTAGGCCTACATGAACACCGTTTGTGTGATCGAGCCCTGCAAATAGATTTTTTTTTTTACAGAATTAAACAGAAGTATTAAAAATCGTATTTTACTCACAAGCCTGTTCAGCTCTGCTATCCCGATTCCTTAATTAGGCTGCTGCTGACGGGTAATATGAAGGTCATGACTAGTTTTGGGTCCGTACATTTAAATAAACAAAACCAGCATGTGACTAGAAAAGGGCGGGTGAATAGATTGTTTAAGTAGGTCAGTGAGGTTGCCGAATTTTAAGAGTTCAGTTCTCACTCTACCGATCACAATTTTTAACTTAACTATGCTACAAATAAATTTTAATCCCAAATTCATTGAATGATTGGTAAAAGTAACTTTCGCATCCCATAAATTATCAATTCAAAACTTTCATAGACTAAAAATCCTATCCCTATTTTATTTTAAAAAATGATGGGAAGTTTATTGTCATTTGTTTAAAGTAGTGGAATAATGTAGGATGAATGAGAATGTGAATTTGACTTACTCAATTCAATGCATTATAATGAATAGGCTCTCGCTAGAAGTAGAAGTCAAGAACCACACACTTTTAAATTATAAGTAAGGAATAAAAAATGTAAATAGTTGCATTCAGTATGATAAAAAATACACCAATACGCACAGATTACTGATATTCAAGAGAAGATTTGTACACTCCTTTGCCGGCCTTTGAAAAACCATATCCATTGCTACGGTCGGCCTATCTACTAGCACTAAAGTAGGTCTCCCATTGTAGAGTCAATGCATGAAAAAATGTGTGCCAAAGTAGGCCTATGTGAAATTGAAATATTAATAACAGGAATTGCCCATAGCCTATAGACTCACTTTTATTTTTAACTGTCGCGTTGGCCTAATACCCTCTGCAGGTAGTCCACAGATGACACGGTCTATTCCTACCTATCATCAATCTATGCCTACAGTGCTACTACAGACTTAAATGTCTTTCTATCAAAAGCAATACTATTACTATCAGCAATCAGTCAGCATTATGAAGTTTATTTAATTTAACTTCAGCGTTTCCAATAACGAAGTGATTATTCCCAGAGCTGTGCGGGATTAGTCATGCGTTTATATTATAAATCATAATCATATTTATAAACATATTAATATTAAGTTAAAAGTAACAGGCAGTAAAGTGTAAGTGTAATAAAAAATGAAATAATAATTTTAAAAAACATTTTATTTTAAAATAACTGATTTTAAATATTAAGAAATTATGTACCGGTAATAAGACTTTTAAAGTCACAACTACATTTTTAGTAAAGTAAAATAATAATAATAATACGAAAGTGGGAGTGCTCGTCTCATCTGAAATTGAATCACTATTTAAGTATTAATATAATATGTGTTCGTATTAATATATTGGGCCCCAGTACTAATTTAGTTGCTTCAATATAAAAAGTACAGTGTATAAATAGTAATTTATAATATAGTATTGGTCTTGGTCTAGTAGTTATTAGTTTAGTAAGTTACAGTAGTAAGATACAATCGTCTCAGTCTCTGACTTAGTCTGAGCCTCATCTGATCACTCACTGACTGATACTGATAGAGACAGAGACTGAGAGTGGTCTGCAGTGTGAACACAGAAGAAGAGGTAAACACTCATCAAAATTGTACGTCTGAGTACTCTAGTCTAAACAAAATGTTTAGTTTGGGGCATTTAGACGTATAGTTTGTAGCTTAAATTAATTTAACTTAACTTTACATTCATTGGCCATTGATATTGATAAGGATAACATTGGCCTGAAACTTTATTTAAATTTAAGGCATTTTTTAAAAAAATCTTATGACTTATGGTTTTATGATTTTTTTTCCTAACAATTGAATTAGTTTTGTGTGGTCACTGCCGCAATCAGTGAAAAGTTCCGATGTCTATGATATGACAAGAAATAAAAATAAGTGAGATAAAGAAGGGTAAATTGGGTAGTTATATAAATTATAATTAATATAGTATAGTCATACTAGTATAATACACTTATTATATATAATATAACGTATACTTAATACTTAAAATAAAAAATAATAATATAATTATATTATATAGATTCTACTTACTCTTACTCTTCTTATTCTTAGTCTTACTGACCCAAGTGATTCACCATAGAAGTCAAAATAAATATTAAAATTAAGAAAATACTTAACTGACTACAAATTACAATAATCTAAGCCTACAGCTAGTTAGTACAACTACAACATGAACAACACTCTTCTTACTAGACAGTAGTAACCACAGTCACAGACTTTACTGATACTGAGAGTCAACAGTGTAAGCATAGGCCAGCTCTCAGTACCCGTACTGTGATATTGTCAGTGTATACGGTACTGAGTACTGTCTGAGAATAATAGTAAAAATAGTCTAAAATAGTATGTATAGATCTAGTATAGCTTTGCTTTTTTTGTCACATTCAGCAAATTCAAATGGGCTTTTAAAAAAAAACTGAACCCAGTTACTAGTTACTTACTTAAACTTGGACTTAACTTAATTCACTTGTTTGTTATGTCAAAGTCAATGTTAAAGTTAATTTTTATTTGAATTAAAAGGAGCCTATTTAATAATTATATTTATAAGTATAAGTTAAGTTATAGTATAATGTAGTCTTATAGTATAGTAGTGTATGCTACATTTAATACAAACAATTTTATTTGTAAGTTTTATTTTAGGGCCTAGGCCTAGGCCTTGCACCATGCCCTCCCATGGCAATATTAGCTATACTATAGACTATACTATAGTATATTCAAAAGTAATCTCAAATAAAGATTATTTTTAATATTATAAATACAACAAAAATACCTAATTTTCCACCCTCCCCCAAAAGTATTGTATAGTTAGTATACCATTTATTTATTAAATTTATGTAAATATTTACTGCACTCAAGACACATTTATTTAAATTATACTATCACCACTGATTCCCACGCACCTCTGACCTATAAATGATGCTGCTGGGCGCCATAGATGGCACATGTAAATAGTTTTTTTTTTTTTTTTTTTTAAATAAATAAATGTATATAACTGTTTTTTCAAGACACATTTATTTAAATTATACTATCACCACTGATTCCCACGCACCTCTGACCTATAAATGATGCTGCTGGGCGCCATAGATGGCACATGTAAATAGTTTTTTTTTTTTTTTTTTTTTAAATAAATAAATGTATATAACTGTTTTAATATGAATGTCATGTTTATTATTGCCAATATTTTTATGTGAAGCCCATTGAGCTGGGGTACCGCACTATATAAGACCACTGTAGTAATAATAATAATAATGTAGGCTATGTGTATGACATAGTTTAAAATAATTTTTTTTAAAAATTATAACTAAATGGGGGTGTAGCTAGCATAAGTGCTGCCCAGGTTGGGCCAAGATTTTTAAGAGTTTTTCACAATTTTCTTTAAAATGCAAAGTAGGGGATTATGACTTTAGATTGTTTTCTTATAAACAGATGTTCCCAAATGTTACTTAACATAGAAATTTAAAAAATTGTATGACATCCTTGTTCAAATTGTCTCTTGACTCATTTAATGGATAGGCCTACCGGAGTACTGGTTTTACACATGAAATTTGTGAAGTGTAGCTTTAAAAAAAATATATTTAGATGTTAATCATTCCCCTTTCGGTAGATTTTTTTTTCCCTCTCTCAAAATACTCCCAAACACTTGAAACTGTAATTTCTGTGAAATACAAATTTTGCTAATGTTACGCTAATTTATAGTCTAAAACTATACCGGTACCTAAAATGTAATGATTTCAATGTAAAAAAAAAAGTCTAACCTATTTTTTTAGAAGCTATGAGTGACAAAACCTCAACAGAAATTAAAGTCACTAGCAATACAGAAGATAACTATGTTGCTGCCATGGTGCTTAGTGGTGTAGGAGATGCTTTGGGCTTTAAAAATGGTTCCTGGGAATTCTGCCACAGTGGAAATGAGATATATCAAGAGCTGAAAGAATTAGGAGGCCTAGAAAATATCCCTGTGAGAGGTAAAAAAAGATTCTGTTGTGAACATAAATACATGTACTTGAGTGCTTCTCAACTTTGACATAATTTAAATTTTAAATAGAAATTGTAACATAAATTAGCAGCACACTTTGAAAGGTTTTGCAGCATACTGTTAACTTGATAGGCAAACTCTGCTGTGTCACCTTGCAACTAAAGTCCTAATGACAGAAGTTTCTTCTCTGGGCTCCATTTTTACAGATTAGTGATCGCCTCAAACTTATCTATATATGTTTGTCACGCTAAATGTCCATTGAAAGTTGGCATGTGATAATCAAATAGTGAGTTCATCTCTGTATCAGTTTGAGTACGTAGCATATCAGGTCCAGATGTAATGTTACAGTGATGTTACAAGGTTACAGTCCCACCACTGTCACCATTGTAGAGAACCTTGGCTCGTCTCTATTCTGCTTCCGTTCTCTATTTGTTGTTGATAACACATACTTCAACTGTCACTCGTATTTCACCAATCAGACATCTCAGCAATGGTTATAGCAGACTAGTTTACTCTCAAACTCTTAAAATTGTACAATGTCATGACAAATTCATTCAACACGTTATATTTATAGTAAAAAATAAACATACAGTATATACAATCTATACACCTAAAAATCGTACATTGTATGCCAAAATCGTAAGAGTAAACAGGTCTGTTATAGTCTTTGCTCTTTTATTGATATGCTACTTCGCTTTGGCTTTCTTTCATCTCCCTCTCAACTCTAACTGCCCCGTTTGTCTCTCTCTCTACTGTGTCCTCATGATTGTCCTCTACTCCTATTTGGCAGAGTTCTACCTCCCGACTGTCCTATTCCCTGGCCGGCGGAGTTCTCCTCGACTCCTGTCCGAATGAGTTCTGCTAGTCCCGTCTAACAATCCATTTTTAAAAGTCCCTGAGATCCCCCCCCCCCCAGGGCTATCTAATTCTACATCTCTGGCACTAAAATGTTCCTAATACCCTCCCTCTGTTTAGTCCCGTTTAACAATCCATTTTTAAAAGTCCCTGAGATCCCCCCCCCCCCCAGGGCTATCTAATTCTACATCTCTGGCACTAAAATGTTCCTAATACCCTCCCTCTGTTTAAATGGACATTAACTAACCACTACTGTCACTGTAACGTTCGTGCTAGCTCATCACGGTGTAATCTGATACGTTACATTCGTTGGTCAATCTCCGTACTGTGGGATTTCGGCCACCCCTGTATCACCCAGGTCGCACCCAGGTTGG